CGGACAGCGAGTCTCCTGCAGGAGTTCAGCTGGGAGGTGTTTGATCATTCACCCTACAGCCCGGACCTCGCTCCCAGTCATTTCCATCTTTTCCTACACCTCAAGAAATTCCTGTCCGGTCAGCGTTTTGAGAATGACAGAGAGGCGGAGATGGTTGTCACACAGTGGTTCCAATCCCAGGCGGCAGACTTCTACGACCCAGGTATTCAAAAGTTGGTCCCACGGTATGACAAATGTCTCAATTCCGGTGGCGAATATGTTGAAAAATAGCTGGACACTTGCTGTATCTGTTGCAATAAATATTTCCATGAAATTGTTTTGTTTCTGTAAACGGCCCCAGGGAAACTTACTTTGTGGACGAGCCTCGTACTTTTGTAAGTATGTTTTGTTCTTTAACTGTTCAATTTGACTTTCAGTTTTGTCACGATCATTTGGTATCGAGTATGCAAGAAGATGATCTTTAAGACTGAAATTCGGTTACTTCTGCATTTGACTTTGACCATTAATATGACTGCAAAATTTTCATTTTTGACAGGCTGCTGCTATTTTGTTCACATAAACTTTCACTTACTTCAAACTTTTTGGGCACAATGTGATTCCTCACTTGTTATGCTCCTCTTATAACCTTAAATTTCTAACATTATTAACATTAATGACAGTCTGAAATATACCACCGAGAAATTTTCTACATACTGTTAACCCTTTCTCTAAATTCTTCATGTCTTCCACTATCTGCTCATACTCCGTTTTCCTCTCACAGTATGCAACACAAATTTCCTCGTGTTTTCCAGTACGCTGTTCTACACTTTCCACTCCTTTCCAGCTACTACTGGAGATCTGTAAAAATACACAACATATTACATCACACAAGAAAACACACAATTAAACCTCAATTCTGAATTGAAGTATAACCACTGGGTGTGTCTAGCTTTTGGACATAATTCTGAGCTGAAGGTATTAAAATTACCTTCCTGTATCAATCCTTGGGCAAATTTTTGTTGCATGTGAAGTTGAGTTTGTAAGAAGATATCCGTCTTCTGGGTTGTTGCGCTGTGTAGTCTGGTCGATGTTAACCAACGTTTCAGAGGTCATACTGCCTCCATCATCAGGGCGATGAGTATGAAGATTTCTCTCTTCTGGGTTGTTGCGCTGTGTAGTCTGGTCGATGTTAACCAACGTTTCAGAGGTCATACTGCCTCCGTCATCAGGGCGATCGCCCTGATGACGGAGGCAGTATGACCTCTGAAACGGTGGTTAACATCGACCAGACTACACCCCCGAGCCAATGGTAGCAGGTATGGGAGTGGACCAATGGTAGCACGTGGGCGAGAGTGGGAGAGGGAGGGAGTTTGTAACTGTACTATCTTTTTATGCAAGTCATTACACCTTTCCTCCTGGAATTTCTTTTTTGATAAGACCTCCCTTAAGTCACTCAGCACAGTCTCTCTCTTAGCCTGAAATTATTTCTTTCATAGTCAAACAAAAAGATTATCATGAGATGTCCTGCATAAGTAAAATATCCGAATCCATAAAATGAAAACAATACTGGAAGAAGAATGTAAACTATTAAAAACAGGGATGAAAGCTTAAAATGACAAGTCCAGTAAATATTGTTGGTATTCAACCTGGGGTACGCAAAGACATCTTAGGGGGTACGTGAAATTTAAAGAAATATATATTATTTTATGATAAACACTGAATAATCAGTAATGTAATTTATTTTAGATGTAGATTATATACTATGTATAACTTTAATTATACACCAACAACTTTGGGGGTACAAAGTTGAAGAGAAATTATATCTGGGGGTACGCGAACAAAAGAAGGTTGAATACCACTGCTCTAGATCAGTGTTTTGCAACCCTTTTCAACACATGGCACACCACAAAATTTTGCCTCACAAAATGGGGAAGTAAAACTATACATTGCCATAAATATATCACATATTTATCCTTGCCCTATTCGATTGCAGACACATGAAAAAACAAAACTATCAATGATGAACCAGTGTGTGTGTGTGAGACTTGTGGCTTTAGCAGCGACTATATGCAATAAAATCCTCTTGGGCAACAAACAACATCAAAATGGAGCCATAGTCCAATGTTTCAGACACACTCTGTCTCCATCATCAGGGAATGATATCATTGAATTGCTTAGAATTTACTGACACATTAGAAGCATATTCGGGCTTTAATGTAAATGAACACAGTACAGTAGGGCCCCGCTTTTCAGCGCCCCGCTTTACGGCGATTCGCTAATACGGCGCTTAACAGATGAGTCAGAGAAGTGCATCCGGCGCCATTTTATCGTCGCTGATTCAGTCTGTTTACAGCTTTTGCGCGCTGCGCGTCTCCGTATTTCTGGAAATTTTTCAAAGTTATTACAAACTGTATATTTATATAATATTTTTGTGTTACTACAGTGTAATTACAAAGACGTCTAAGGGTAGTAGCGATAAAAAGAGGAGTCGTAAGCCTCTTACTTTAAATGCCAAGTTAGATATGATTAAACTTCGTGAACAAGGCATGTCTATGGCCGAGATAGGACGTAAGCTAGGCCCAGCTCGCCAAACTGCTAGTGCCATCGTGAACGCTAAGGAGAAAGTGTCACACGAATGAACTCTAAAGTCATAAGAAAAAGAGATAGCCTTATTGCTGACATGGAAAAACTTTTAGTTGTGTGGATTGAATATCAAACGAGCCACAATGTGTGTACTACTGATATTCATTTTAATTTCATATCGTTTTCTTAGGCCTAGCGCTATTGTGCACTTACGATATGATAGTGTAACATCTTATTAGGCTTTGATTTGCATTTGCAAGTGAAAAAAATGCAAAGATCCGCTTTTCGGCGATTTTCGCTTTATGGCGGGGGGCTGGTCCCTAACCCGCCGTATAAGCGGGGCCCTACTGTATGTACAAAGAATGTAATTTACTCTAAATAAATGTAAATTTTTTTTAAAGATATGCCAGTTTCCTAAAAATTCATTCATCCAGAATGGAGACTAGCTTGGTAAAAATATCAAATTTATTGCAATATATGGAGGAAAGATTTATGTAAATAAATTCAGCCCTAAGCCATGTAATTTCAAAGACAATGAAGTGTATTACAGTAAAAAGATTAACATATTTACCAGAAGAGGGCATTCTTCAGCTTCGATGTCTTTTAAAGTATCCCGAATTTTGGATGATTTTGTGCCAGCTTTGTCCATTTGATCTTTTAACAGCTGACAATCAGCTTCCAAGGTATCACGCTCCTTACATTTGGCAGCATATTCTCTCATGTATTCTTCCAATTCAGCAGCCTCGTCAACAATGAAGAAGTAACCAAATTTCAAGTATTACAAAGTTTTGTTTCAGTCTTAAAGATCTTCTTCTTGCATACTCGATACCAAATGATCGTGACAAAACTGAAAGTCAAATTGAACAGTTAAAGAACAAAACATACTTACAAAAGTACCAATGCTATTCAAATCAGGCTCATCCATATCCTTCAACTGGATCGAGATATCTTCATCTTTTTTATTGTAGCACCAGCAACATTCAATTCCATGTAGTTTGTCTGTAACTGTTCCTTAACCACAGCGAGTTGCTTCTCCACCTCTCGCTTCTGAAAATGGTAAGCTAGTAATCGCAATGTTCAGAGGATCGATTCGATCCCCCTCTTTGGTAACTGCTCCTTTGCAGTTCTTGGGTACTCGCCCGACATCGCTCATTATTTCAAAAGCTTCACTGAGATGAAAGGAAAAGCAGAGGGAAAGAAAGCCCAGTACCTTTTTCTGTCTTTATTTCGTATACGCCCCGACCAGTTGCATTTAATCATCTCATTACAATTATACGGTCACCATATTCTTCTCTCTTGTAATTATGGTGACCAGTATTCTTCAACGTTACCTCGATGGTCGCAGTGTCAGACTGGACTAAATTCAAGATAGATAAGCAAAGACTAAACCTATGACCTTAGCAACTTGTTACAATATGTTACCTTTCAAAGTTTTGGTTCCTGTAATGTCAGTATTTTTTTTAAAATAAAATTGATTGTAGTAAACTCTACAAATGAGGTAAATTTGTCCCTGAGCACTAGAACCTGCTAGTTCAGTTGCAAAGTCTGACATGTATTAATCAACGTGGTCTTCGTACAAAGCATTTTTCATCACATTTATAATAATCAATCTTGAGGGGCTCCTATAATGTACAAAGTTCCATATTTTTCTGTCAATTCATAACACACGGCTTGACTTCTTGGTTTTGCCACATGAAACTTCAATCTGCAGTTTAACAAAAGTGGAACTCCAAAATGCAAATTCTTAAAATGTTCATATATGCAGTTCTTGGGTACTCGCCCGACATCACTCATTATTCCAAACGCTTCACTCCAGGTTGGAATCAGTAAAATTGTCTCAACATCCCACTGATCTATTAGACAGTTAGAGACAAGTGTGTCTTGGACTACAACAGAATCCAATATGCTAGAGTAGCCATCTCCTCCCCGCAGGTATTTTCACCTTGACGTGGTGGGGGGCTAGCGTGTCCCGATGACCCTGAGAGCTATGCTGGCGGTAGCAAGTATACACTTCACACTGGAATTACAAGAGCTTAAAACATGGTTTTCATGGATGCAAAATGTATGGGCCACAGAAATCCAGATTAGGACATAATTTAAAACAGACTCCAGTGTAAACTGAAACTTCCTATACGGGGTCTCCAATTTATGAGGTTATGGTCGTGCTTACATTGCATTATCGGCCTCTGCTGTTGACGTAGGCGGGACTTATACGCGTGAGTCACGGGCGAGTCAGTTTTGGTGCCGCTAGTAACAGCGAACTACGAATATTTCTCGTAACTAATATATGTTATTACATTGTTTTTACCTTAAATCACAAAAACAAAATATTCGACAATTTCCCAAGGAGAGCTTCGTCGAGCATTTCGAAACATGTCAACGAGATGTGAAACTTGCTTGCAAGCACAAGGAAGTCACTTTGAACATCTTTTGAATGAATTATCCTAGACATAAGATACAATTTTCTTTCCGCTGTTACATCCTCCCTTATAACCAAACTAAGTAACCACATCTAACCAATTACTCATAAAATACACATAATGCGTAGCTTAAACCTGTGAACTCAAACGAAGCGTGTTAACACCCACGCTCCGTTGGAGTTCACAGGTATGGACGACGCAACAGCTCCCCGCAGACCAGCTACGGCCACCGGACAATCGGATCAATAGCTAAGTGCAGAGTTCAACTCCTGTGAAACCAACATCTAGTGTAGTGTTGCTTGATATGCTTTTTGCTGAGAATGATGTGATTGCCACTCAAGTACATTATTATAGGATTAGAAAACATGAACGTAAGCCTGAACATGTGATTCTACTGATTATCTGACTCATTCATAGCTGTAATTAATGTACTGATCATTCCACACAACTTCACTCTTGTGAACTCTTTGGTGTCGCACTGGTACAAACTGAATTAAAAATAAAGTGTTAAATGATGGAAATATTTCAAATACAGTATTTATATGATTCAACTGGCACCAGAAAGTATTTCTATACTCACTTGCATTGTCAAATTCATCTTCTATGGCTCTCCGGTCCGTATGCGGTCCATGGCCTCCTCAATTCTCCTCTTCCATTCGGTCCTCTGTTACGTCCGTCTGTCCGAGGCTTTGATCGAGGTTTCGAAACATATTCCTTTTTACGGTGCAAGGTTGTTAGCCTTGTGACCAACCCCCAACCTGGAGGACCAGGGTACCTGTCTTAGTCTGACCTCTCCCCCTCGACCAATCTGGCTACGGAGGCCCTACCAGTATCTAAGCTACCGTCAGCATAGCTCTTGGGATCACTGAGGTACTCAAGCCCCACCACCACGACAAGGTGCAGGTACCATTAAGTGGGGAATTGTCCAATTGCCCACTCCAAATCAAATGATCTCTGGGCTAAAAATAAAATAAAACGAAGGAATTTTTAAAATGTTTCATTCACACTGGTGATAAAATGTTATTTGCAGAAAAGCAAGATTTGTGACTTATTAAGAGACAAGAATAAAATTAAATGAGGTAACAAACTGAACAATGTACTACATCTTTCTCAGCCATTTCTTAAAATCTGCAATTTCATGTTAACATACGTGACTAAGAAATTGTATTTATTATATAATACTCAAAAACATTAAATGTCACTTAAAAACCTGAATTAACTTAAAGATGAACAAATATCACAGCATATTGACAGTGTACAGTCAAACCTCGGTTCACGAACGCCTCGAATCATGAACAATTCGATTTACAAACAAATTTTCTGAACACAAAGCGTCTCGGATGACGTACTGTATCTCGAGTTACGAACATGCAAGCCGTCAACATCGTGGAGCGATAAGCTGGGAGTATCAGCGTCGGCAGTGTTCGTAGAAGAATGATCCAGCATGGGGCCAAAGAAAGACAATGATAGCAGCAAAGTGAAAAGAAAAAATACCAATATCATGATAGATATCAAGAAAGAAATCATAGCCAAACATGAAAATGGTGTTCATGTCTCTGATCTTGCTACTTATTTGATCCGTGAAATTTCTGTAAAATGGGGTGAGGTGCAAAGTTTCGTGGAACGATATCACCACGATAAAGCAGTAGCAAGCCGCAGCATAAACATTTTCAATGATAATGCCATGTGTCACTTTAGAAACATTTTAAAACGTAGACAAAAACAAATCACACTGGACAACTTTTTAGTGAGACAGAGGCCCAGTGAGTCTGATGCAGAGTCGAGTGGTGCCAAGAGACAGAAAAAAGAAAAAGAATCCCCTTGCAAACAATAACATTTCACTTCCTCACCACCTTCCACTTACGCCGTCAACTCTCCTCCATAACTAAATTAAGTTTTCGTCTATATTTGATCTGCTTAGTGTTGTGTTTATCTTTTTTGCGATAGATTTGATGGTTTCCACTGATTTTGTGTTAAGAACTTGTGCACAAAGTACTGTTGTAAAATTTTAAATAAGCAATCATCTGGGTCCAGGAACGGATTAATCCATTTTACATTAATTCCTATGGGGAAAATGGCTTCGGTTTACGAACGACCTACAGGAACGAATTAAGTTCGTGAACCGAGGTTTGACGGTATTTGTAAAACAAGGTGTGGATCAAAACTAGAAAGCTTCACTTCATATATTAAAAACACAAACTTTAGTTAACAGATGGAATACGTAGTAGTTTCACCCTTACAACTTCAACTACATTTCTACAATACGGAAACAGTGACCTAGTCCGTTTTTATAAGACATAATTCACAAAATCAGAGATCCATCATTCAGTTCATTACGAATCCTGAGCTACACTGAAGTATGTAAGAATTACGATTTAGTATAAGAATCAGTACGAGAAACATTGTAAAACGTTATAAATAATAGTAAAATATATTTTTTCACTTTTTGGCTTGCTGGTTTCAAAAGCAGCGTCATTCTCAATCGGCGCAAATTGAGGTTTACCTGCATTTACTAGCCACCCTAAGATAATTCTGCCCGCCTGTCTGCTGATGATGAGATACTAACACGTACTTAGTTTTTTCTGAATTTACTTATAGCCCCACTTGTCTACTAGCCTCTAGTAAAACTTCTGCGTTCCTCTTTATTGTATTTATATCGTCCCCCAATAAATTAACATCATCAGCAAATGCCAATAGCTGATGTGTCCCATTCAATTAACCCTCCTGCCTATCTTGGACTTTGCTTCTAACGCAAAGTTGAAGAGCAAGGGAGACAAAGCTTCTCCTTGTTTTAGACCGTTCTTGATGAGGAATGTCTCAGATACATATTTACCTACTCGAATTTTGCTACAGGTTTCATTTAAGCACATTTTTATTAGACCCACTAGCTTCTTTGGTATACCAAATTCAATAAGAATATTATATAGCACTTCTCTCTTCACAGAGTCATAGGCTTTTTTGAAATCTATAAATAACTGACGTACAGTCCCACCGAACTCCCATTTTTTCTCTAGTATCTGACGAATGAAAAAGATCTGATCAATCGTTGATCTGTGTCGTCTGAACCCACACTGATGATCCCCAATAATTTCATTCGCATATGGGGTTAATCTTGCCAAAAGAATGTTGGATAGAATTTTGTATGAGGTTGATAGCAGCGAAATTCCTCGGTAATTACCACACTCAGTCTCGTCCCCCTTCTTATGAATAGGAATAATTATGGATTCCTTCCACTGTTGTGGCATCTCTTCCTTATCCCAAATTAACTGAATAAGCTTATGGATCCTCATATGCAACCCTTTGCCACCTGCTTTAATTAATTCGGCCGGAATCTGATCAATTCCTGGAGATTTATAACTTTTCAACTTCCCAATGGCTAGTTCCACTTCATCTAAGCTAGGTTCTGGCACCAACAGTTCAGCTGTATGCATTTTAATCTGTCTAATATCACCAGTATCATGAACATTTAAGAGCTCGCTAAAGAAATTTTTCCACCTATTCACAATTTTTATTGGATCTGCAAGCAAATTGCCACTATCATCCTTTACCAAATTAGTCTGGGGTTGATATCCTTTCTTAAAGTTATTAATGCCTCTGTACAGGTCTCTGATGTTTTTTTCCTTATTATTTGTCTCAAGTTCAGCAATTTTGCCCTTCAGGTATTCCCTTTTCTTAGTCCTAAAGGTTCTACTAGCCTCACGTCTCACGTTACATAGATTATCCGCATTTGTTTTGTTTGGGTTCTGCAACCATTGAAATTTTGTTTGCTTCCTTCGATCTATTAATTTTGAACATTCTTCATCAAACCACGGTTTATTTTGCTTTCTCCTGTAGTATCCTAGTTTCTCTTTTGCTGAAATTTTGATGCAGTTTCTGACATTTTCCCACTCCCTGTTGATGTCCACACTTTCATTATCCTCATTTGTCTCTAAAATTTGAAACCTATTCGAAATTTCAACTTGATATTGTTCCTTTGCCTCTCCCTCACTTAATTTTTTCAAATCAAATCTTTCTGTGTCAAAATTTTGTTTAGTTCGTCTACTTACTGAAAGCCGCTCCCTCACTTTTGCTACCACCAGATAATGATCAGTGTCGCAATCTGCTCCTCTGAATGATCTCACATCAATTACATTTGTCTGCCTTCTCTTATCTACTAAAACATGATCTATTTGATTGTGTGTTCTGCCATCTGGGGAAGTCCAAGTGTATTTATGAACATCACGGTGTGGAAATTTTGTACTTTTTACAATTAAATCTTTTGACGTAGCGAAGGTCACTGCTCTGACGCCATTATCATTACTAAGTGCATTCTGTTGAATAAGGTGATATAGTTCCCAAGATATTAACTTTATTGTAAAAGTCTGCATAGAAGTTTAAATTCCCTACGTGAGCTGTTCACTGCTTTGCCTGCAGCAGAAAATAAAACTCACCACTCGCAAACTCCAAATCAAAAAATCAGAGAAGTGTACGTCAAACAGCCAGCAACCCTTGACGATCTCTAAACGTGAATCCACGAATAAATGAAAAAGATTCTAGCGGAGATGCTACAGTGCATAATAAAGATCTTCACCACACGTTTACGACAGTGTCTGGCCTGATGAAGCTCATATGACTAATGTTATTTTAAAAATAACAATTTCTATGTTATGCAAATCAAAAAATCAGAGAAGTGTACGTCAAACAGCCAGCAACCCTTGACGATCTCTAAACGTGAATCCACGAATAAATGAAAAAATTCATTACTATTGGACCCTGTGAAATATGTACGAAGCATTTAAGCGCGTGCTCCAGCATAAAACAACGCCATGGTAACTTGCTACTCACTTTCAGGATTTCAGGTTTTCATGGTAATGGGCCTGAAGATGGCTGCCTTCTGAGATGTAGTCTTGTAGACGTTACAGGCATTTCTGAGGTCCTTGCTGCCTCCATCATCAGCCTGATGCAACAATAAGGAACACAAGGCCATTATATTTGCTGCCAAGTGATCCTCCAATTGTACCGGGTCTCCAATTTATGAGGTTACGGTCGTGCTTACATTGCGTTATCGGCCGCTGACATACGCGGGACTTGTACGCGTGAGTCACAAAAGATGTTCAAAGTGACTTCCTTGTGCTTGCAAGCAAGTTTCACATCTCGTTGACATGTTTCGAAATACTCGACGAAGCTCTTCTTGGGAAATTGTCAAATATTTTGTTTTTGTGATTTAAGGTAAAAACAATTAATGTAATAACATGTATTAGTGACGAGTAATATTCGTAGTTCGCTGTTACTAGCGGCACCGAAACTGACTCGCCCATGACTCACGCGTACAAGCCCCGCCTACGTCAACAGCACCGGCCGATAACGCAATGTAAGCACGACCGCAGGCACATAAATTGTAGACCCGGTATAATGTTGAATAGTACGAATGGATAGTAGTGTTTGGTGAACTCTAGAAAGGATTTGGGAAGAAACTGTCGTGACCTATGTCAGGGTCTCCGGAATATTCCTGAAGGGTATGAGGAAGACTTAAAACCTCTGTCAGGACAGCCCGTGTTCCAGCTTAGATAAAACTGGGCAGTTTCGGAAACAAGTTGGAGCCAGTTTCCTCGGTGACTGTAAATGGAATAAAATCTCAAAGTATGATCAATCATTAAACGACTTATCGCTTGTAAAAAAGTGTTTTAGCCAGTGATAAATGCAGCTTTAGAAGCTAGTCCAAATTACAGTGCAAAAAGGCCCATGCCAGTGCAGGCTTGTGGGGGCCAAAAGTGAACCAAACTGTGATAAATCCACACACATTGCACTGTGAATGACCTAAGGTATGGCATAACCTGTACGCCAACAGCCAAGAGATATTAAAACATTTACAGAAGTCAAGACTCTGGGGGCACACCCAGAATTGAGAAACACGCCATACTTCACATTCCAGAGTATGCACATGAAATTCTTAAAGTGAAGGTACATTGGACCTAACCAACACTTTTCCGAGGCTAACCAGGTCAATCATCAACGCTGTCAATGTCTCATGGCATTTATCTATTTCACTGCTCCCTCGAAACGCAACGACACATAACCTCAAATGACATATGACATTTCCGCATACTTTCCAGTTTCATCCTCAATACAGGAAACACTGTTCGCATCGAGTTCCTAACTGCAATGAATTTTCCTTAATGTCCTATGAAAAGACCGAATACGTGCCACTACGAAGGCAAATAATTTTATCACGCGCAGAAAGCCGCGAAGGGTGAAAACCCAGTCACTTCGAATATACTGTGAGTTACTGCATATGCCAGTTACGCCACAACGTTTACAACGCTCCAAAGGCCGACGGATACACACCTACGCTTCCAAGTCTTAGTTATAGTAGCGTAGTAGTAAACTACATCTTACGCAGGAAAAAATATGGGAAATGATGTCCAAAAATCAAACTTGGAAGTACAATCTTCCATGTGCCTGGTGGTCCAGGGGGGGGCAAGAGAGTGAAATGCACAACTCAACCAATTTGCCTCTAGCCATATTTCAACTTCATAAAAGAAATGAAAAAAGAAATCACTCAGCCTCAGTCTCTCCTGGAGGCAGCCACCTATCATGGCAAGCCTCGCGATCAACCAAACTAAATTACGTTACCTATTCCGAGCGTTATACTCTAGATTTAATGGGATTAAACGCCATATACAACAGCCCAGTCTGCCTACATCTTTAATCATTTTAAACAGCCAACAGAGGGCACATGTCAATAATGGATTTCAAATCAGCAAAAATTTTCAAAATTGCTCTGGGTTCGTCGGACTCTGTGGGAGACAATAATTCTAGAAGAATGGAAAAATCACCTACTGACGCGGCACCGTGAGAGCCCAATTCTGCGATCTGTTCCAACGAACAATCTCTAACTACATCTCCTTCGGCCAATGTGCTCACCTGTACTGCATACACGTTGCACCAAGTACTACACTCTACCCCACTCAACATAAGCTGATAAACGATTCCGCAACAGTAGTGTACAAAACAATAATCTTCCCTGTTGTTTTGTATGGGTGCGAAACATGGTCTCTCACTCAGAGGGAGGAACACAGATTGCAGGTGTTTGAGGAGGATATTTGGGCCTAGGAGAGAAGACGATGGGGCGTGGAGAAAACTGCATAATGACGAGCTTAGAAATCTGTACTCTTCTCCCAGTATTGTCAGGGTGATTGAGTTGAGAAGAATGAGATGGGTTGGGCATGTAGCGCGCATGGATGGGGCAAGAGGTGTGCACCAGGTACTGGTTGGGAAACCTGAAGGGAAGAGACCGCTGGGGAGACCTAGACGTAGATGGGAGGATAATCTCAGGCGGGATCTATGGGAGATAGGAGTTGAAGGA